GGGAGGCTGAGGAGTGTGATCCCCCTATAGTTGGAACACACCCTCCGGTCCCCCTTCTTAAAAAGAGGGACCACCACCCGGTCTGCCAGTCCAGAGGCACTGTCCCCGACCGCCATGCGACGTTGCAGAGGCGTGTCAACCAAGACAGCCCAACAACATCCAGAGACTTAAGGTACTCAGGGCGGATCTCATCCACCCCCGGTGCCTTGCCACCGAGAAGCTTCTTGACTACCTCAGTGACTTCAGCTTGGGTGATGGCTGAAATCACCCAAGCTGATATATATACCCAAATTGCAAATATAAAGCATCTGTGGCGATTTGTCACAGTCACAGAGATACAGTTTCCTTTTCTAGTTGAAAGTTAAGCCAAGAGTAAAGAACAAATGATTAGCTTAGGTTTTGGTAGCCATTTGGTCATAACATTTAAACTGTACAGTGTAAAAATACGTTGCTTTTATTAGGGCTTTCTTGGGCCAACACACATACTTATCCATATTTTCACAATTTTTTAAAATGTTTTTTTTAAATGGAAGACACTGTTTTCACCACCCCAACCTCCGATCTTTATTCACTCTCATACATATTTGGATGAGTCCAAGTCAAACAGTTAGTGTGACCTATTTAAATTACTTCACATACTGCAAAGACTGCAGTTCCTCACTGCTAGGTGGCACTATATCACCAACATGATCAATTTAAATGTGGTCCTGATTCTGACTCACTTGGAGCTTTGTTAGCTTTGTAAAAATCCAAACTATGACTGTGGTTTTGTCTATCATCATGTGTGTTTTGATTCACATCTGGATCAAAAGAACAAAAATCCCCCTTAACCTAATGTTTTAGTGTCTGTACTTTTATTGATGTAGTAGTTGCCATGTCAACGATGGCCAGACCCTGCTCATTGACAGCTGCCCATGCTCCACTCAGAAACAACTGAAATAATGAAGCTGATGTGTTTTGCTGAGATCTGTGTGCCGCCTTGACTTGACTGCTTGGTGTGTTTGTGACAGCATCATGGCTGTACCACTCTAATGAGTTTTTGATGAGGTTGAGTGCTATTAGTACCATCATGGCTGTACCACCCTAATGAGTTTTAAAATAGGATTTTTTTGATGAGGTTGAGTGCTATTAGTAAGATGGACACGATCTTTTTAGATTACAACCAAAATGTCAGCTTGAAAATCCCCCTTCCTTGTATTCAAACGCCTCCAGTGATTCTGTCTCAGTTGAACAAGCTTCTTTTTTTCGGTGAGCCTCATGTTCTCTGGTGACATTCTCATGTCTGTGTTTCATTATCTTTCAGTTGTTTGTTGCTGAAGATTGCCAGTAGACTTGCCAAAAAATGAGTTCACTGGTGCTACAAAACACCCAATCACAAGACGCCAAGCGGAGCTGTTTCATGGCCCTCATTACCTCCTCCTTTCCCTATCTGTGTGTCTTTGTATATGAGTGTGTATTTAAGTTTGTGTTTTGTATACAGGGTGTTTTCACATCTGGAGTCTGGGCTGTTTTCCTTTGGGCTCATTCCCATGCTCTGTGAAAGCTTTTCTCCTTCCAGTTTCTTCAGACTCGCCCCCTCCTCTTTAAGTCGCTGTTTCCTGTAGGAGCCAGACAGAAAGTTGGCCTTCTGTGTATGACTGCACGTGAATTGGCTCCCAAGCTGCTGAGTGTTTTTCAGTGCCCAGTCTGGTATGTAGGTTAAAATGAAGGTGGATTCTTGTGGCTGAGCTGTCATAAGCTTACTAATGATGGAACATAACAAAATGGATGTGGGTGGGGGCGTGATGCAAAAACATCAAACTGTAGCAGCTTTAACTGAAAACTGGTAAGGAGGAGACAGACTGTGGGGTTCAGTTTCTATGCATGACTTAAATACACGAACACACTTGTACTCCAAAGCTGAGGTCATGGAAAATCTTCAAAGTAATCCCTGTGGCCTTGAGTATGTTGGACAATTCAGTCTGTTAGACACAGCTGGGGTAGAAGCATGGTGAAACCTGTAGAAACCTTCAATGAGAACATGAATAATGGATCTGCTCCTGAGATGAATCTGGTATAAACGCAGAGCTCTGTCTGTCCATCTCTCTCTGAGTAGAACCAGCAGAGGATCCCTGGCATTTAGCTAATGAAGGCAGATGTTCAAGGCTCTTTTTCATTTGATTCAAGTGGACTGTTGCTATGGTGAGGCTCCTGTTGTGGCAAGACCACTTAAGTGTCAAACAAACGAGGCAAATGGAACCAAGGCTCATAATGATATCTCAGCAGTGTTGTTCAGATTTTACGACTGACACAGACTGCATAAAACAATGTCACCAAACCAACCCTCAACAAACCAGAGAAATGAGGCTGAATATTGCAGCGACAGCCTTTCTATACTGTCTGGTCATAAATCATGTCTTTGCTTAGCCCAGAGCCATGAACAGGAGTGGGCAGGCATACCCCATTACATGCGCTATGGTTGCATTTATATTTATTTGACCATAATTCTAGATACATGTGATATACAGTTGGTTATTCGTCTTCATGTATATATGAGTGTTACATTATCTGGGTTTTTATCATCTATTTCTGTATGTGTAAGTGCATGTGGTCTGATTTCTATACCAACTGGGTTACTGCTGTGGCAAGCTCACCAGTTTTTATGGCTGCCTGGTCTGCCTGCATTTATCACACTCCGCTTATAATCTCTACCTATTTTCACCAGTGTATGATGAAAACTAACAGCAATAGGCCTAAAGAAATGATTAGAGAGAATGTATCTTCACTTTCCTAGTGAGCAGCTGATGACAAACTACAAAACCATTCTCAGACCTGTATGCTAAAAAGGAAGAATTGGCCTAAATGCACAACTATGCTTTTAAAAAGCAGATTTCAAATGTCATTTTATCTTTTGTTTCAATAATTAACAACAACTAACAAGAACACTGCTGCACATGAAGTGATCAGACAGCTGGATGAGGTGTTTTAATGCCACAGTATCCCTGTTTCTATAATAAAACTAACAGCTAGCATTTTTGGATTTCTCATACCAAGATTTGTACTCATCCAGGTTTCAGACGTTGATATAATGTTTAAAGGCACAACCACAAAGCCAGAATTCTCCACAAACCCCACCATAACTGACACACTACTGCGCATGTACAGACACCCATTAAACTGAGTCCTTCATTAAAAAACTGCCTAAAGTATGTTACTGATTATACTGTACATACACACGTTACAGCTTATCTCTCTCCATTCCTGTCTTTTTCTTCCCTTCTGTTGGTTCTATCTTCTCATCAGAAGGTTAAAATGACTTTAAGTTTTAACATTTTTTTCAAAAAGTAATTTTTCTCGCAGCTCAGCGTTTTCATCTTTCCACCTCTGCGTAGTGCCTCACAATTCAAATCTAGCGTAGTCTACTTTCTGCTCTGCTGTAACTCTCTCTGCCGGGGTCATGGCCTTTTACGGCTGTCAGAGATGTAAGGCGAGGCTAGCCGTGCAAAGCGTGATGAAGGTTGGAGGGGGAAACTAAGTGAGCAGGGGGGAGAAACAATAAAAAGATGAAACTACGAGGAGACAGACTTTTCTTAACCTGGTAGATGGTGACAATACAAGAGAAGAGGTGGGGCCGTGTGTGCTTTGAAGACAATTTCTCCCCTGCCTGCCATGTGTTAAACAGCTTCATAAGGTGGCAGACTTCAGTGAAAGGTCAATGTATTCTCCCTTCAGTAAAGAAAA